AAATAAATAAATAAATAAATAAATAAATAAATAAATAAATAAATAACCATCTCAGTAACTCTCTATTACCTTTGGAACCTCCAACCTGGTAAAATAATCAGCTATTGAGTCCTTTTCTGAATATAAAAAGAGATGGAGCTTCCGGATGTTCTTCAGGGGCAGCCCCAAGTAGAGGACATTATAGTAGTCCTATCTGGAAGTGATTGGGGCATGAATGAATGTAAGTAGAGCCTGCCAATCCATCCAGAAGAACAATTGGCACACAAGATGAAGCTGTGCAAAGGCCCTTTCGGCCAAGACTGTGAACTGTTCATCAAGGAGTTATGAGTCCAGGAGGACCCCCAGATTGTGTATCATGTCTGCTCAGGTAGTACAAGCTTATCCAGTGGCAAAAATGGCATATTCATGGAACCAGGAAAGGATCCCCCAAATCCATAGCCACTCAGTCTTGCAGGATTCAGCAGAAACCTATTGTTCACCCTCCTGACATTCACAGCCTCCACCCACTGAAATAAGAAGGTCACAGAATTGCTTTTATCTGATAAGTGTTGGGCAATTTCATCTGTTCCCACTATAAGACATTCTCTGTCCCCTCCTTACCCAGGAGGTTTGGGGGAGCAACCTGTGGATGCAGTAAGGAGAGAGAACTACTGGAACGTCACCTTCCTTACTATCACAAGGTAGATCTTAATAGAATTTATAAACCATATTTGGTCTAACTCATCCTTTGCTGAGCACAACCTAGGGTCTAGATGTCCTTTCTCCCATTTCATCTCCCTACGCTCCTCCAGAAACCACAAAGAGTACTGTGATTATTTAAAGGAGAAAGATTGCAGGAGCAATACCCAATCCAGGGCCTCTATCTAACATTCTTTTTGTCCATTTTATGAATTATTTGAAAGTTTTTCACTCTGGTATTACCCATTTTTACATATTCCAGTATGAGAATTGGCATTAGAATAAACAAAGCAAGCAAATCAACTACATATGTTGAAGAAAAAAAAGTAATTCTCTATTTGGTCAATTTTGCAGTGAAAAAAATATAATATTATGACAGTGCAGTGTATAGTAATGTTAATTAAAATAGATTATAATTTACCTGACATGTTTGATATTTTCCCAACAGAACATGGATCGCAATCATAACAACAAAATTTCTGCCCTTCTTTTTTCTTCTTCTGATAGCCAGCAGGACAGGGATTATTACACACTGAACGGGGCAAGACCTGTTAATAAACCAGGATGGAATTCAGGACTGAAGATTTAAGTAATCATGGGCAGTCGTTCCTCTAGTCTACTTACACAACTAGTGTAGCAGAGGTCATAGGATTATAAAATGAAGTGCCACATCTGGAAATCTCTATAATACTTGCTAAATATTGGAGATGTTTAATACCCAATGTATTTCCTCCCTTGCCCTCTCTGGATTAACTGAAATAAAGAAGAATTTGTTTAAAAATGCATGATGTAAGTCTTGATACTTGTTTAGTAAAAGGAGACAACTAATAAGAAATCACCACCTTAAGTGTACCTCTGAGCACCAGCTCCAGGGATTAAAGTTGAATATTTTCCTCCTACTCTTTCTAGTTGATGGACTTTGGGATAAAAATGAGGATCTAATTTTTTTTTACTTTTTACCCTATTATTCATACAACCAAATCAGAAGCTTTGTTTTCTCAACCCCAATAAAGCCAAGATTTACAACTTCTCTTAGTCCACTGATTCTCAATTTTTTTATGACCAGTCAAACATGAGAGGGAGCACTTTTTATGTTCTTCTGAATCACTTTTTCAGAATCAGAATAGACCTTGGAGGTCTTCTAGTCCAGCCCCTCTGCTCAAGCAGGAGTCCCTATATCATTTCAGACAAGTGGCTGTCCAGTCTTTTTAATATTTATTTAATTACTAGCTGTACCCAGCCACGCGTTGCTGTGGCTCAGTCTGGTAAAAGTGTGTGTTACTTTTACGTCCAACAGATGGTGCTGTTTTTCCAAAAAAGCATGTTTTTACCTGTCACAGGTGTGACATCTATATATAAAAACACACGCGTATTCGAATGCAACGTTGTGTCAAAATTTCAAAGCAATCGGTGAAGAACCTTCGGAGATTTAAGATTTTGAACAAACGAACATTTACATTTTTATTTATATAGATTCTGGATTTTATTTCACTGTTTTCTTGAAGCTGGAGTAATAGCCAAATTCCCCATCTTCCCTTAGAACAGGGGTGTCAAACTGCTGGCCCATGGGCCGGATGCATCATGCCGAAACCGCGCACACCCCATTGCCAGCAATGGAAAAAAATGTCACAATACGTCACAACACGTCATGTGACATTGCAAGTTTGACATCCCTGCCTTAGAAAGAAACCCATATAAATTATTTGCCAATTATGATTTCTCCAGAGCAGGAAAAAAAACAGCAATACTTTTAATACAGAATGCTAAATTTGATTAAAAGATCAGAAAGTAGGCTGCACAATCAAACTCATCTCTGATCTACAAATCCAAAATAATAAAATAGCTCAAAATTCATACCCTCTGAAAATATTTGGGCCACACAATTAAATTTTCCCGAATCACAAATTCATTCCCTTGAAGTGCTTTGGGATCCATCTTTCCAATTTTCACTTTACGGTAGGAGTTGTTTGGAAACATGACCACATTTGTAATATCAAATCCAGAAAGCACTTCTCCATGATGGTTGATAGACACAGTTTCTTCAAGTGAATTATTGAATGAAAGGCCTTGAAGGAACCAGTGAAGCTAAATCAAAATGAAAGGGAATATATAAGATGAAATAAAGCAGTGGGTGACATCAAGATTTCCTGAAGTGTATCTCTATAAAAATAAAAATAGCTTTATTTAATTTCCCAGAAGGCTTTCTTTAGAAAGAAATAATTGTGAGGTGGAAGTGGAGGATGTATGGTAAAATAATATATTTTATTCAAAGTGAAACCACTCTTAAATCAAAAGAAGACTTGGAATCAGAAGGACATAGTTGTCGCTGATGTGCAGTACCTAGTTACAGTTTAAATATTTATTTTAGATAAGAAACTATATGTATTTTTTGTAGCTGTTAAAAATGAATTTGAAACTATAGGGTGTGCTAATGATGACCTTATAGCTGAGATTTATAAAATGTTGCTGAGGTTGAATTTAGAAAGTGAATATTTATGCATCATATTTATGTATCATAAATTTTGATTTTAATAATAATAATATAATAATAATGATGATGATAAAGTTGGAAGGGACCTCGGAGGTCATCAGCAGGAAAAAAAAATGTTGACCAAAGGATTGAAATACACATTGAATTATAATCTGAAAGAGAAGTTTTATAAAACGATGTGATGCCAATAAATCACCCATCTCCCCCTTTTTCCACTGTCTTTGTTTCTATTCCTATTTTACATTAAGAAAAAAACTTTTAATAAAAATGTGTTTTTAAAAAGGATTGAAATACACATTGAATTATAATCTGAAAGAGAAGTTTTATCAAATGATGCAATGCCAATAAATTACCCATCTCCCCTTTTACCATTGCCTTTGTTTCTATTCCTAATTTATATTAAGAAAAAACCTTTTAATGAAAATGTGTTTTTAAAAAGGATTGAAATACACATCGAATTATAATCATAAAGAGAATGTTTATAAAATTATGTAATGCCAATAAATTATCCATCTCCCCTTTTTTATTGCCTTTATTTCTATTTTTATTCTATATTAAGAAAAAAAACTTTTAATGAAGATATTTTTAAAATAATTAAGTATGATTGTCATTAAACCATGACACAAGGCATAACACATACTTATGAGCTTTCACAAGAGAGACAAATCTGGGGCATCTGTTACCACTATTGTGGCTTGTAATTTCTCCCAATTTATATTCTAATTGTTTCTCTTGTCAGTACTTTGATTTTTCTGTTCCAACTAGCAGTCAGAAAAATGATGAAAACTCTTTAATTTTTCAACATATGGACAGACTTAACCATAGTTTCACCTGAAACTGTGATCATCCTAAACCAAGCCAAGTCCAAAAATGCTAGAAGATTCCTGGAAGCCTGGCACTATGACTTGTCCATCAATAGACATACGGACATAAACAATATCTACAGTACATACTGTGCAAAAGAAACAATCAACAAGCCAAGAGGGGAACAAAAAGACCAAAGCACCTCCCCATCAGCAATCAACATCCAGATGACATAGATTAACATCAAGATTTAACATCAGGCCAACAATTTAGAATAAACAATACCCCAATCAAGGAACTGCCAAACAAGCTAACAATAAACAGCCCAATCAAAGAAATTTCAAGACTACTCCTGCCAACATTGACAGAGCAACCCAATGGAGTATAAATAGAGAGCAAACCCCTTACTACCACTGGTTGATGTTACCTAGCTTGGGTAATAGAATGTCTTGCAGAATGTCTTGCAAGTTCAGAAACACCAAGAATCCCTCAGAGAATGAATCCCACACTTGTGTCAAACCCATCCAGCACTGAACATCTTCACCCAATATTGCTGGGGATGGCTAAGAAGACGTTACTCACAACAGTGTGAACTGCTTTGTGGTAGTAAATCATATCACTGCCTTATTTGAATGAGGAGAATCATGTCAACATTCATCATCAGCCTCTTTCCAAGTAATGAATAAAATCACTTTCCTCCACTGCCTCCTCACTAATTTAAGAAAGAAGAAGCTTAGTATACATGGTACTAATCTGCTCCTGGCAATGAAGACATTTGATTCACAGATTATTACCTTCCAGGTGCCTTGACCTTGAAGTTCTTCTCTTGTACTCTCTGCTAGTGGTTTGTATTTAGACTTAAATAAGTTCATGCCATGAACAGCATGTGCTAGAGCATAGACTGCATTGTAGATACTGTAGCTGTGGCCAGTCATTTCAAATAAATGCTGAGGAAGGGTTTTCAATTCTTCCCTTCCAGTACATGCTCCATCATTTTCCACTGGTTTATTGCTTCCTGAAAAGGAGCAATCAAAGCCTTGTTCCCAGAATTCTTTCAACAAACTACCTCTTTGGGTCTGGAATGGTTTGATAGCCGCAAGGAATTCATCAAACCCTGGCAGTTCATTGGCATGAATAGCAAAGGAAATTGCTCCATCAAACACTTGCAGATCTGAGGGTTGATGAAGACTTGTTAAGACTAGATCTATTTGAGCTGTCAGAATCCACATCTTCCCACGGCTTACATCTATATATTTCATGAAGGTAAACAGAAGGATTGCTGTGATACTTTCTCCGTAGAAGATGAATGTATTCACTTTGGGGTGGTTCAAATAAAATTGTATCCTGTACACTATATCACCTTGAAACATAAATAAAAATGCTTGTTTGGGAAACCTCTCAACAAAGGCAGAGCAGATCCTGTTCTCAGAAAGAAATGGCTCCAGGGCTTGGAGGAAATTGTCTCCACTGTCATCATCCAGAATGAAAAGGCCAACCCACGTCCATCCAAAATGCTTCAGCAACTGAATAATCCCCACAATCTGAAGGGTTTCATTGGGACCCATGCAGTAAAAAGAGGCAGACATCTTTGTTCCATGTTTCTTGGGAGCAAATGAGCCATAGGCAAGCTAAAATAATAAGTGCAGTTGGTTATGGTTGGAATGTCATGACTCAGTTGAGAAAGGTACACAGGTTGTCTTCGACTTACAACAGTTCATTTAGTGACCGTTCTAAGTTGCAACGGCACTGAAAAAAAGTGACTTATGACCATTTTTCAAAGTTACAACCATTGCAGCATCCCCGTGGTCACCTGATCAAAATTCAAAGACTTGGCAATGACTCATATTTATGATGGTTGCAGTCAGTGGTGGGATTCAAATACCTGGACAACTGGTTCTCTGCATGGATGCAGGCCTGGGCCTCCGAGGCCTAGAACAGACTTCCAGAAGTGGTATCCATGCACTTCTGGTGGGCCATTCTGGGAATCAGTGTGCATTCAGCCAGTTCTCCAAACTCAACAAAATTTAGCTACCAGTTCTGCTGAACCAGTGCAAACTGGCTGAATCCCACCACTGGTTGCAGTGTTCCAGGTGATGTTATCTCCTTTTGTGATCTTTCTGACAAGCAAAATCAATGGGGAAGCCAGATTCACTTACTTAACAACCCTGTTACTAAATTAACAAATGAAGTGATTCAATTAACAAATGTGGCAAGCAAGGTCATACAAGGGGAAAAAATCACATAACAAATATCTCATTTAGCAGCAAAAACTTTAGGCTCAGCTATGGCTGTAAGTTGAGAACTACCTGTATTTTCTTAAAGATCATGCAGGTATGTACATTTTATCTAAGCCCTTTTCTTGGGTGAGCTTCTATTTTCAAATCTATATAAAGCTTTGACCATTTATGATTGCTATGCATTAACTGCTAAATAAATGGAACATTATCTATGTCTTTATTAAATTCATATTCTGCTTTTTCTCCAGGCATTCAAGCAGAAATATGCAGCATTCTCAGAAACTGAGTAGATTTAGCTGAGTGAGTGTGATGAACACAATCACAGGTAACATCCAACTTCAGGTGCATCTGAAGTTCTTAATTTCTGCTCCCTTTTTCCAATAATCTTTTTTAACAAGTATTTCCAATTTGGTGCATCAGATATGCCTAAATTCCAACCCCCAAATCCTAGGGAGTTTTTAATGCATTTTTAACACAGAATCTTACCCCTACTTGGGAAAGATTTGTTCATCATTTCTTTCAGTTTTTCCATATGATGGTTTTTCATACATGTCAATATATATGTGTATGTGTGTGTTACCTTTGGGATTTTATAAAGACTTATGACATCTGACATGAAGAATGAGATATCAGCACCGAATCTTTTATTTATTTCTTTGTTAGTTTCATATCCTGCCCTTTGTTCAAACACAAAAAAAGGATATACACAGCACTCTAAACAACACCATAGGTTGGGTTGAAATAGGCTGACGGACACAGTCCCCCATTAGTTTCCATGGATCAAATTAATTTACACCTAGATCAGGACTGCAAGTTCTCACCTTCTGCAATGTAATGCTTCAAATATGGCTCAATTCTAACTCCCAACTTTCATCAGGATTTTTTATGCATCATTCAAGTAGAATCTAACCCCTACTTGATAAATGATCATTTCCAATTCCTTATAATTTTGCCCTATGGATGAGTTTTCATGCATGTCAATATATACATCTTACCTGTGGGATTTTATAAAGACTTATGATATCTGACATGAAGAATGAGATATCAGCACCAAATCCCCCAATAATGGCCACAACGAGATTCTCCTTGATATCACATCTGTAGTTGACAACCAAGTGATCAGATCGGAAGAGCAGTTCCAAAGTGGAACGATAAGTCAGCCGGGCATCAAAATAGTTGTCAGAGATGAAAAATCCCAGGGTAATGTTAGATAAGAGTCTTGGATTTGCATTGATTTGTTTCACTGCAAATACCAAAGTCAGGGAATGCTGATAAAGCTTTAAAATGGCTCTGAAAACACAATTGAGGGATAAGTGAAATACAGGTTGATTGAGACAAGAAGAATATATTCAGTGAAGGAACGAAAACAATCGTAGTATGAAACTTGCAAAATGTAACAGGCATCACATATAAAACAAATGAAGAACATTTGATGCATCATGAAACAAGACCTACAACTGTACTAACTTGAAGAAAAATTGTAGAGGAAGAATGCAAGTACTGTAGATTGTTCATTTTCTTATATTATTAATGCAAGGACCAGTTGAAGCCAGAGGGAATTCTTTGAGTTCATTTTTATAATGCCCTATTTGTTCTTGGTAAATCTTACCTCTTGTTTGCCCTTATCCTCATATAACATTTATTATATTGGTTTGCTGTCTTGCCATACTTGTATCTAATTACATAAATGTCCCCTCTGTTGATGTTTTAAATAAACATCTGTGACAAATGAGACAAACCCAATTGCATTACTTTGGCCAGGCTGATTAGAGTTTCTTCTACTTAAGGAGAACTCTTCAGATCATTGGAGACTGGACAGTCACTTGTCTGAGATGGTATAGGTTCTCCTGCTTGAGCAGGGGGCTGGACTAGAAGACCTCCAAGGTACCTTCCTATTCTATTCTATTCTATTCTATTCTATTCTATTCTATTCTATTCTATTCTAT